TAGGATATGTACTCAACTATTTGAGTGTTTAATTTTTTGTAACACTTCTGATCGTAGAGTTACACTAGCATCTTCCGCCAAACCAAATTTTCAAGGATGCTCCATTTAGAGAGAAACAGTTTACTGGGGTTTTTTATCAACATCGTGACGGTTTTCCAGCTTCTGTGAGAATCTTTATAAATCCCACCCCTTGGAAGTCGGGTTATCTCGACTTACCATGATTCTACTTTAAAGATAAACGTGATGGAAATGCTCCAGATAGGTCGCTTTAATTCGTTCGACCTTGCGAATGCATGTACAGTGAAGGCTTAGGAAACAACATGCTTTAGCTGGCATAGTCAGTTTGCCTCCTCAGATTTGGTGCGAATTTTTTGCCACCAGGGAAGAGAAACCTCTGAAGTAAGAGCAAGGAAATTATTGAGATCATAGGGTACCAGCTATCTAGTAACGCCCTGAAGCGTAGGCCCCAAGTTGCGCATATGCATATTAAGTAAAATCGCATCAAGTTCTGGGCTTCAATCAGATAAGTAATTGCTCCGTGACAGATCAACTTCGAAAGAACAGATAACATGGCACCCCGGGATAGTTCAAATGTAAGCATTACTGCCGTCACCTGGTTTGCTTGTTATATTATTTCAACTTCGCTTATTATTGCCACTGTAGAAAACACTGGGCCTCTCACCTCTTTTAATTACACCAAAGTCTTGCTGGGCTTCCTGAGCACAAACGTAACCTAATTGGCTAATATATGTTTGATGAGAGTAGTCAAGTCTGTGAAACTCGGCTGTCACTTTAAAATCCCCTAGAAAACGCAGGACGCAATTATGGCGTTCTGAGGTAGTCTAAAACCCAGTAAAACTGCAGCTTCAGAAATCCCCACAGTTTCCGAAATTGAGAAATTCGCATAAGAAGATTTTAGTCCGAAAGAGCGTCAATAATTCCTTGCCTTACCTCTGGAATGCAAAACCTATTTTGAACTAGGCTGACATCCGATCCTTGTCGGTTTACGGTTACTCAACTTTATAAGCGCTTATGGGTAGCTGTTTCAGCAATCGTTCATCTCACCATAGCCTTTTCCCTCCGATTTTAGTGCCAAGAAAATCCAAGTGGACACATACTTGCTCCCTTTCAGTGAAGTTGAACTTTGCCAAATAAGCCTTGATGAAGGCGACCTTGTAGAGGCCAAGAAGCACTTAGATGCTGCAAGGTAAGTTATCGAATGGTGTTCTATTTATAAATGCATGTTTACTTAAATATATTAAGTAGCTTATATAAAATGCGATTGTTCGAAGTATCAACAAGGCCGAGGGCGACCAGGCTGGCCATTTTTGGCTTATTAGCCCTCGTCAGCCAGCCCTACACAACCCTAGGTTAACAGAACCTGCGACCCAAACAGGCGTGACTTTCTCATCGAATGCTATGAAATTCATTGAACTACTTGTACGTTATCCTGTCGGTTGCATCTTACTGTGACCCCTATGTAAACTTGCAGCAACTACCACGGCTATAGTCTTGAAGCCCGTCTTCACTTCCGACTTCACGCGATCAGTACCGCACTGAAAGTGAAAAAGAATGGCAATTCACTGGACGCCAACATAGTCCAGCCATCACCAATTGCATCCTGGCATGAAGGACTCGCCGATGCTGGAGCTCCTGACAATGGTAACCCCTTCGATGCGGATTATGACCCGATCACTGAGGATGCGGATACTATTATCACATTCAAAACGTCTGGGTATGTCGGCATCGTAGTAAATAGGGTCATATTCCCGTTTTGGATTTAGTAATATAACAAGGTTTTCCACTAACTCTAATTCATAACTTCCTCCGTTGTTGGTTTACTCCTCGCGCATAAATATAACAAGTGGTTTATCTGAGTTTATCGTTGCCTCCCTTGATATTACCTCCCCCTGTCAAATGCAGAAACTCCAGTATCTAATAAAAAGAGTGTTTGTGTTGTGCCGCAATAACTGTTTATGGATAAAAACAGCTTAAGAAGAAAAAAATCAATTCTAATTGCATTGTTTAGCGTCAAACGCTTTACACCCAGACAAACCTTGCCAAAAATCTTTTTTTTTAATTCCTCTTTTGTAACGCTCTTAAAGGACGACTATCTTCCAAAGCTGGTCTCGAAATAAATCCACCGTATATATACGGGAATTTCTTTTTCCTCAAGCACAGCTAAAGTTTAGGGTCTGATCGATGATCAAAACACCTGTACGTCAATATTCTTTATCGGATCCTACTCGCTATTTTGTTTTTCTTCTGCAGGCCGCCAGGTGTGTGAACAGAAAGACCAAGAGCGTTTCCTACAAAACTGGTGTCCGTTCTTCCAAAGTACACTTTGGCACTTAGCTCCTCCATTTACTCATATCAGTTTCCTGCAACTGTACTTCTACCAACCGTTGCCTCGTCGTTCGGGTCCTTCCGCTGTCGATGACGATTTCTAGACGAGGGTATTTTTGCACTCAACCATCTCAAAACACAGCCCTCATTTTTTTTATATTTTGACGCACTAACGAGAGAGATCCTTTGCAAGTTGTGTGATTTAATTACACTAGTATCTTTTATTGTTATTTCATTTTTGAAGATCTCCCTATGAAAATGTATTTTGGTGCCTTGCTCTGCATTTTTCGAAAGAGCTCCTTTCGAATGTTCCCGACTGAACTTCTACCCGTAGCGTTTTTTCAGTTAAATAGAGGAACAGATAAAGTGCGAAACAAGCCGATTACTGAACGGCTGATGACGTAGTCATGAAAGCAGCTGAACATGCATAGAATGATCAGAAGTTCAGAGAACGTCAATAGGCAGTCAGAGCTCATTTGAGATAGCAACGATTTCCACAAAACCCCATACGGGGAACGAGCAGCCCCATTTACGAGCATTTCAGGCAACGAACCAGCCACTCGAGGAAAAGTTGTCTTAATTGGCGAGGTTTCGTTGAGTTAACGAGTTGTCAGTGAATGTTTTTGTGTGCCTGTGTCCGCCGTTGACTCCTGTTCCCTGGGCGTGGGCTTTCGGTCGCTTGCAACCAAGCACTGAACTGAAGCAGTTTAATTGGCTACGAGCCCGCCTGATCAGGGGTGAATTCACTTTCTACACCGAAACCCGTCTCCTCATCCGCACCTCCTCATCGTCTGCCTGAAGCCAGCAACAAATTTTCATAAAGCATAGTGCAACTGAAAACATTGAATATATT